TTTAAAGGATTTGGATATAGTTCAAGAGTAGAACAACCCTGGGTTCAATCTTTAGAACCTCAAAAATAAGTTAAGTAAATAACCCCCAACTCCACGTGACTGTTTCACCCCACCCCAAGAATCTGCTCTGACTCAAACACTTTGATTTGTGTGATTTGCCCAGATCAGCCCCTTGGTGATGGCCCACTCATCCTGCAACTGCTGGAGGGCAAGTGGCTCATAACTTACGGGCCATCTCCCTGGGAATAGTCCCCAAAAGTCACACGCTTCTCCAAGTGCTTTGATTGGTTGCATCTCTAAGAATTCACGTGTTGGAAACTTAACCCTCAAAATCACATGTCAAAGACATAGAGTGTTAGAGGGGTAATTAGGACTAGATGTGTCATCAGGATGAGGTCTTTATGGTGGCATCAGTGGCTTTATGTGCAGAGGGAAAGAGAGACCAGAGCCAACACACTTGTGCTGTCTTGCCACGTGATGCTCTCTGCATGTTAGGGTGTAGCAAGATGGCCCTTAACAAAAGCAGACACCATGCTCTTGGACTTCCTGCCTCCAGGACCCAAAGCTAAACAAATCTCTTTTTTTCTATAAGTTATCCAGCCTGTGATTGTTGTTATAGGAACAGAAAATGGACTAAGACCCCAGGGATAGCCCATACACAAGGACTGGATCATCTGCAGTACCAAACTCTTACTTCCTTCCCTCAGTTTAGACAACTTTGAAAGATGATCCAGCTTGACGGCTCCCTGTGTGCCAGGTTCTGATATCTTTCAGGTATGACCAGGGAATCATACAAAATCTCACAGAAGACACCATCAAGTTCAGCTGCAAGATCTTAGAAAAGTCCCATCTCTTCTCTAGACCATGATGGAAGAACTATCTCCTCACAATGTGGAAAATCTTGGAACTCAGAGGAGACCCCTCCTTTATGACTCATGCGTGGTGCGGGTAAAGGAAAGCTACTGGGCCTCAGGACCCAGGGATCCCAGGCTGAGACTGAGGACACAGGCTATGGGAGCTGCAGCCAAGAGATGGAGGGTGCCTTCAGCCTGGGTCCACATGCAAGATCAGGACAATTCCCCCTCCCAGACCTGGCAGCCTTCCCTCTGCAGGCCCCAACACTCCTGCTGCAGTCAGAGGCCCGGAAAGGAGTCTAACAAGTATTTTCTGGAAGGGAGCACAGCCCAGGTGCTGAGGTAGGGAGAGGAGGGAGGAGCATATGGCTGTAGATAGCAAAGCCAAGCCTCAAGCTCCAGCCCTGGTTCCTTCCTCACTCAACCTATCACAGAACTGGGCTCTCGAGACCAGTGAACATGTGCCAGCCCTGTCTGCCAGGATCTGACAACAGAGCCCCATGGTTGGCAGGGTGGGCTGGGCTGTGCATGAGCATTATCCAGTCAGGGTGTCACAGGCACAGCGTCCTGGGCTCACCACTGTGGTTCTGTTCAGTATCTGGGCTGGGCCAGAAATCTGCATTTCTAACTGAGCGTCCCAAGTGGTACCCTCAGCACCATCTCATGATTGCCTTTCAGTGATGACGATTATACTGAAGGATCAAACCCAGGGCCTTACCCTGCTAGGCAAGCCCTCTACCACTGAGTTACTTTCCCAGCTCTGCCCTCTAGTGACTGTGAGAAATAAGGTAGGCATTACAGTATTTCCAAGGTGGTGAGGGTTCCCACCTGCCAGCCAGGTCTGTCAGTTACCTGGCGGGCTGCTTTTTAATGCCAGGAAGCCTACAATTCTGCTTCGCTGCTCAACCTCCCGGGCCTCCCTTCCTCCCATTTCTCTCCGGCTGGGAACTCCAAGACCAGAATGGACCCTTCCACAATTCCTATATTTTCCCTCCCAACTCTCAGCTGTCATGACCTTGATCAAGTGATGCTCAGCCCTCAGTTTACATTGCAGTGGCCTCCAGGACGTTCTCTAACTCAGAATCTCCCAGGTCTCAGGCATGCATCTGCCATCTTTATGACATTTTGGGACCATATTAATATATTACCCTGGCTGAAATTTACCTTACTTTTTCCTTAAGTTAATGTCAATGGTATTTATTTGAAAAGAAGACTTTCTAGCATTGAATGCAGGTGTCAAACATCACATCATCATTGAACATCAGTGTCCACAGCAGCATCACCCACAGTAGCCCAAAGGCAGAATCAGCCCAGGGGTCCATCAATAAATGGCAGGTAAATAACACATAACTTCTCCCTACATTAGAATGGCACTCTGCCATAAAGAGGAATTACATTCTGACCCATGGTAGGAGCCTTGAAGCCATTATGCTAAGCGGAAGGAGCCAGGCATAAAGGACAAGTATCGTATGAATAAGGAATTATTGCTTAATACAGACAGTTTCAATGTCCACTTGGGGTGTGCAAAAAGTCCTGCAGAAAGATGGTAGTGATGACTGCACACCAATGTACTATACTAAATCGTGCACTGCGAAATGGTTAAAACGATAAATTTTATGATATACCTTTTACTGCACTTTCACAAAAAAATCCTTTCTTCTCTACTTTGAATAGAAACAAAATAAAAATGTCACATTTAAAACAAAACAATATTTTGAAAATAGTGTCAGCTTTCTCTCCCGCATTGCTAAGAAAAGTCATTAGCAGTCACACATGGTGGTGCACACCTGTAATCCCAGCACTCACGGAGGCCGAGGCAGGAACGCTGCAAGTTCAAGCCCAGCTTGGGCAGTTTAGGAAAACTATCTAAAAATGTTTAACAAGTTAATGAAAGACTAGGAATATAGGTAAGTGGGAAGGCCTCGAGTTCAATTCCCAATATGAGAGCAAGAGAGAGAAAGAGAGAGACAGAGAGACAATACAAAGAAAGAGAAATATAAGAGAAATATTAACACTAACGTCCCGACAAGAGCAGCAGACACAAAATCAGGATCTGAAAAATATCCGTTTCCTCCTGGAGGACCAGTGTTAATTAATGCCCTCTGTGGACCCAGCGATCACATGTATGCCCCAGATTCTGGAAAACTCCCTTCTGCCCACAATTTCCTCTCAGTACTTTCTAAACAACTCATTAGAATCATAATAATTATTTTCAACGCATAGATATCCTCTGGTCCTTTTCCAAACTGATTCTGAGCAGGTCTAGAAAGCTCTCATGTTCTACACATCTTGCAGATGAGAGAGATGGAAGGCAAGTTAGAAAACCAAGTTTAGCAACAACAACAACAAAAAAAAAAAAACCTGCCTTGCAAGCAGGCAGTAGTGAGTTGGATCCCTGGTACCGATAAAAACGAAAAAGATGAAAAAAAAAAAAAAAAAAAAAAAAAAGAAAACCAAGTTTAGAAGCTCCCTGCCTGCTCAGTTCTCTTCCTCAATTGTCTGAGATCACCCACGACCTTAGCATGGCTCCTTGCATTAATTTCTAGACTCTACGTCTCGCAAGGTATTTTCTGGAGTTTATGCCTCACAAGGTGCTGCTCTCTGATGGTCTGGGCCCCCGCCCCACCAGACAGATTTTGCTGTATGAACAAGTCACTCTGTGCCTATCCAGTAGCTCTGCATTTATGGAGGCTCACACCCACGGACAGAGGCACTGGATTTGGGCTTCCAGGAAACCTGGGTTCAAATCCTGACTCTATCTACGGCTCACTATATAGCCTTTGACAAAGAGAAACAACACAGGACTTAGTTTCCACTGGATCAGAGGAGAGTAAAAGGGTTGGAGGGGATCAGTGACTCCCAGCGGAAGTCGCCGGAAAAGGCGCTATACCTGTAGGTGTGAGCCCCACCTCAGGCCCAGCCAATGGATCCTGGGGGCCAAGCCAGGGCCCCACACTTGAAAAGGCCCCCCGGGTGATTCACATGTGTGGGATGATGGCTCAGCCAGCTCTGAAGACCCTGTACACTGAGCTTCTTGGAGACCAGGCCCTCACCTAAAGCTGCCTGGCATTTGGAAGGTGATTTGTTTTGGTTACCCTTCCCGGTTTGACTCTATTAGGCCCAAGAGCAGGAAGTGCCAATTTCCTTCATCTGATTGGGGAGAAGTGTTTGTTTACTGAAGGGCAGGGCACAGATGGAAGGCTTCCTGTCAAAGTTAGGATTTTCTGGTTCCGATTCTGGGGAGAGGTGGGCCACAGACTTCTTTATCTTTTTTTTTTTTTTTTTTTTTTTTTTTGGTCTTTTTCGTTTTTATTAGTACTAGAGATCGAACTCACGACTGCCTGCTTGTAAGGCAGGCGCTTACGCCGCTGCTGAACTAAACCCCCAGCCCCTGGGCCACAGACTTCTAGGCTTGTGCCTCCTTCTGAAGTCATTGGGGATGGAGCGAGGCTGTGGGACTTGGGAGGACTCGGGGTTTTAAGGATCCCAGACAAAGCTGGGCCCAGCGGCTCTAATGCTGACTTTCTGGGACCTCCAGGAGAACCATAACTGCCCCTTTGTGACCCCTTCACGTCTCTCCTTAAAAGATATAGCTCTGGCCCCATGCAAAGTTGATGTAAGTGCTCCTGAGAAGCCCCTGACCCACAAGGGTCAAATAAGTGGATCGCTCCAGTCCTGAGTTCAAGACCCGCCTCCATCCTTGTTCAGGTAGTCACAGATCAGAGGGGCAGTATGATCCATAAAATAAACAGGCTCAGCGAAGTGGCCCTGATCCAAGGTCCCATGTCCCTTCCTGCGCCCTGTGTAGGCTTCTCCAGGCTCCGGGACTCGCTGAGACTGCTGCGCGCGCTCCAGGACGCGCATTTGCTCCCGCGAGCCAAAGGCTCTCCCAACCTTTCCGCAGAATTTCTGACAGTCTGTTCCGCCTGCTCAGCTCAACTAGGGCTCTCTCTGGGCAGAGTCGCTGAGCTCCGGTTCCTCACGATTGCTGAGTGGAATCAGCTCTGCATCCCCGGAGTCTGAGCCTACCTTCTGTATCTTCCCTCCTCTCAGTCTTGCTATATAACCTCCCGCAAGCAGCTGCCAGCCTCAGAGCCACGATTCCCACCCAGTTTTAGGGGCTGCAGAGGGGCCTTTGTCACCTACCACGGTTTCCCGGGCTTCTACGCACTGCTGGTGGCGTCTCCCTCCTGCCAGGTCTGGGATTGTGGTGAGCTTGGGGCGGACCTGTTGCCGGGCCACCACGCCTCCCCCACATTTGCTTTTTCCCTTTCACTTTCTCTCTGCACCACAGGACTTCAGCCAAACCGGGGAGCAAGCAGCCACCTACCCTCCCCTGGTTCACCCACCACGTGCTTTCTTGGAAGCATGCTCACAGTGGCAAAAGCACTCCACCTTGCCCAGGCACTCCCAGGGTCAGGCCTCCAGCCAGCTAACCCTTTCCCAAAGGCCACCGCTCTAGGGCAGGAAATTCATCTCCACCCCTGGGTGGCTCTCTGTTTCTCTCCAGCTCTGCCTGACCTTGAAAGTGCCAAACCGCCCCTTTATGCAGATGGACCCACAAGCTGAGCAATGCTCTCTGCATCCCATGCCCTTGGGAGGAAGACAGTCCTGGGGGAGGGATCCAGTTCTGGTGACCCCTGTGTTCCCATCCCATGGCCCCTGGTGACAAGATGCCTGTTTCTCCTCCTCCAGAAATTTTAGGTCCTGTTCCACCAGGTCATAAGAGACGGTCACTTCCCCTTCCCAGGCCTGGACTTCCTCATCTGAAATTGGAAGAGTGGGTCCAGGTGGTCTCTGACCTCTCTTTCCTCCTAAAAAAAATCTCCCCAAGAATCTCCAGCTGCATTCAACAGAGCTGAAGAATTGTTCACCCACCTCTGGCCTCAGAGCAAGCCATGTTTCTAAGGAGTCTGAGAAAAGGGGCATTATTCCTTTCCACCAAATTATAACAACTCCAATAATATCGGCCTTCTTTGATGACACTCAGGTCCTACAAGGACCTGGGCCCTGAGCTAGATCCTGGCATCTCTCATGTTACCCTATCATCTAGGCTTTCCCCTTCGCCCATTCTACAGACAAGGAAAACTGAGACTCAGGTTAGCAACTTGTGCAAAAGCTCACCACGCACACCTAGCCACAGAGCAGCTGCATGTCAAGGCTGCCGTGCCTGCTTCAGAGCTGGTACCAGATGTCTTTGCTCTCCTCTCACCATCTGTCCTTTAACCCTAGCTTCTCAAACAACACCATGTGGAAACTGGGGAGAGGGCTGCATCTGTCAGGTGCTGCACTGTAGGGCTGAAAACCCTAACCAGTTTTGGTTTTCTTGCTTCCCTGGGGATGGGGTGAAGTCTGGCAGAGTCTAACCTCCCCCTCGACAGCCACCCTTCAGCGCTGACTCAAAGATAGACCAGGCAGGAGAAAACGGTTGGTCTTTGCCTCTGCACTCCAGTCAGTGCCCAGAGCTGAGGACACACCCCTTCGAGGCTGTGAGCTGGTAAACTCTCCATCCCGGGTGCCTGGCTGATCCCAAACTGCTCAGCTGGAAGAAAACAGACCCTCGCTTCCCGTGGTCTGGGCTGGCAGAACATGGTCCCCCTTTCCACCTTCACCCCAGTTCAGAGCAGTGTCTCTGTTTATCTAGCATGGTGGAACCAACCGAAAGCTCAATCCAAATGAAGACACACTCTCGGCACCAACTTTTACCTTGGGGATCTGGCAGGTAGGATCCTGACGGGTGCGGAGGAGCCAGGCAGCGCATGGTGGGGGAAGCAGGGTGAGGCAGCGGGGCAGGAGTCTGGCTGCCCCTTCCAGTGCCTTCAGCCTCCTCACAGATGTCTTCAGATGCCCGGAGCAGAAGCAGGCAGCCTCATCACAGCCCCTACCTACATGGGTAGGGTACTGCCAAGCCAGTGCACTTGCAAAAGAAGCAAGCAAGGGACCAGCGGAAAACTCTCCCCTGCAAGGTGACCTCAAGCTGTCAGGTTTCCTGTATCTAAATAACCCTAATTCTCCCACACTCCCTTACGGCCTCCCCTTGCTTCTGATGTTAATTTCAGTTCCTTATCTGTACACCAACTTGGGTGACCACAAAGGGTTGCTGTTGTCTGCTGCTCAGAAATGAAAACGGAGCTGCACTGGTGCCAGCTGTCATAGCTGCTGTCCTCTGCAGGATGGGACTATATCTGAGCCCCACACATGTCTCAAGACAAACTGAAAGCTCCTGTTGGGGCTCAACAGACTTCTGGGCTCCAGTTGCTCCTACAATCACTGCCACACCAGATTGCCCTGGATTTCCCTGGAGCTCGGGAGTGGTCCACCTACCATTTTTATTCCAAGTCATTGGAAACAAATTATATATCGAAGAACCAGATGTGTGGTGCACACCTGTAATTCCAGCACGTAGGAAGCTGAGGAAGGAGAATCTTGGGTTTAAGGCCAGCTTAAGCTACCTAGTCAGTTCAAGGCCAGCCTGGACTACATAAGGAGACCCTGTTTCAAACGAAACAAAACAAAACAAAAAATTTATACACAAGCTGGATGTGGTGGCACATGCCTGTCACTCTAGTGTTCTGGGAGGCTGAGACAAGAGGACTGCAAGTTTGAGACCAGAGTGAGCACCTTTGAGACTTAGGTGGGACCTTGTCTTGGAAAAACTTTAAGAAGGGCGGTACTGGGAATCTAATTCAGTGCAAAGGCCCTGAGTTCAATCCTTAATGTGTGTGTGTGTGTGTGTGTGTGTGTGTGTGTGTGTGTGTGTGTTAAATGTGCATACACAAGAGATTAACCCAAACATGAGATCCCCAACAGCCAGCTAGTTTGAAGTAACACACAGATGTGGTGTTATAGAACACTGACTCCTATGAGAAGAAAGTATCTTTCAAGTCTCTGCTTATTCTCCTGTTATCAAAGATCTGGTCTTTGGATTTGGGGTTAATCGGTGTTAACAGCTCTTTTAAGATGTTAACTCCTCTCCTTTTCATGGAGAGCAGCCCTCGGGTCTCAGCATCTGGGTCTGCGGTGGTGCATAGGATCCGCCTAGAATCTGATAACATTGTTCTACCTTTTTTGCTATTTGGGGCACTTTCTCCCTTTTAAGAGGAGACACAAAGCTCTTGTTTTGGTACTGGGGGTCAAACTCATGACCTTGCACATGCCAGGCAGGCACTTGTGCCGCTGTGCTAAATCCCCAGCCCTGACATAAAGCTCTTTTTAAAATGTGGGTCAAGTATGAATGGTTTGAAAAAAGATAGTCAAATAAATAAGTGTGTAGGGGGACTCAGAAAGAGTACAAGTTACGAAAGTGGTGGTACTGAGATGAATGAGCTTTGGGGAACTGTGTCTGTTGGCCGGTCACTGTTACTGAAAGAGCGTAAGACTGGGAGACTGACAGCCTGCTGCTACTAGCAGGTGGTGACGGGGGACCCCTCATTCCCATACTGTGAGCCTTGGGCTCCCTATGTATAAGATGGGGGGATGCCTGTCTTTGTATGGCAATCATTTTGAAGCAGCTGCTGTTTTTAGAAGTCCTATGGGGAAGGCAAATGAGAAATGCTAAGAGTCAGTTTGAAATAGAGCCTGCGGTTGGAAAAAAAAACAAAGTAAACTAAAAACAGGCACAGGAAATGTTCGAAATCCCAAGTCTCATTCTCCCATGAGGCTGCACCAAGGGAGAGGTATCACCATATGATCGACCATCTCGAGGTCTTATAGGAGAGTCCCTTCCTCTGAGTCAGATAGCTGGGCAAATCTAAGAGTCCCAAACTCCTGGGTGTGTTAGGGTTGAGACTCAGCCAGGCTGGAGACACACCTGCTGGACACTATATCAGCACTCGAACAGTGGCAGCCACCTGCTACCTGGGCTGTCTGATCGTACCTGACCCCTCTAGGCCCACAAATCACAAAATCCAAATGCTACCTGTGCTTGTGCAGAAGGTTTCTAAGCAAGGCAGAGATGGGTGGCAGCCTGCATGTTGAACTAATGACAGAGACTGCACATTGGCACATGGAACAACCAGACGGAGAGGCTGGAGATGCCTGGCTCTCCAGGACGTGCCTGACAGGTGACTGTCAGCAGCAGTGAGTGGGGATGGAGAGATGGGCATGGAATGGCTCAGAAGCCAAATGATAATCTTCTGAGACAGAGTGAATGGGGGAAAGGAGCAGGAGGAGAAGCTAAGCCAACTCTAGGCTTCTCTCTGGTAGAGCGTCTGTCTGAGCCAGGCATGGTGGTACACTCTAGAAATCCCAGGACTATGGGAGGCTGAGGCAGAAGGATGACAAGTTGAAGCCCAGTGTGGGTAACTTAGTGACTTGGCAAGACACTGTCTCAAAAATAAGACCTAGAGATCTGCACCAAATTGGAACTTAGAGCCTTAGAAACGAAGCAACCAGCTCGCCTCCCTGGTAAGTGGTAGTGAGCCTACTGGTGCACGGGCTGAGAATCAAACCTCCCACCTCCTCCTCCTGTTAGCAAATGGGAGCCAGAGATCTGAGCATCTCTTGGGAGGTTGACAATATGCAATAGAGCAAATAAGGGGGATTTCCTTCTACCGTCTCTTTGAAGGAAAATATTTTTATCACTATTTTGCTTTATTCTGATTAATGGTATCACTCTATTCAATATTCTGTTTTGTTAAGTTCTATAATGTTCTGTATATCATTTGGTTTTGCTATACTCGATTGAAAGAACAACTATTGTGAAGATAACGAGCTATATACCATGGTACCTGTTACTGTTATCTCAGTAACCTGCTGTGAAGTTCTGTACCAGTTCCACTACAGTGTCTCAATTGGCTTTGTTCTGTCTTGTTCTGTTGTATTTTACTACCTTCAAAATAATAAAAAATTAATAAACAAAACACATTAAAGTTTCCTTAAAAAAAAAAAAAAGACCTGAATCTTTCAAGCAGGAAGTGGTGCTCACACAATTTGGCACTCCTAGCTGCGGTCTCCTGAAACAGACCCTGGGCCATCCTGTCTCCAGGCTCCCTCTGGCCACCCTCCCCACTTCTTTTTCTGGCGTGCGTTTTAGGCATTGTCAAGGCCCAACGCACTGCCTTCATCTTCCTTTCAGCTAACGATAATCATCTACTTCATTTATTTTCATAAAACACATTGCCAGGTTATTTGCTAATAAATTGTCAATTTCTATCTCTTAAGTAACAGGTAGCCAGTTGGGTGTGGTAGTGCTGGCCTATGGGAGGCGAGGCAGGAAGATTATTGCAAGTGCAAGACCAGCCTGGACTACAAAATGAGCTCAAGGGGGCTGGGGATTTAGCTCAGCGGCGTAAGTACCTGCCTTGCAAGCAGGCGGTCGTGAGTTCGATCCCCAATACCGATAAAAATGAAAAAGACCAAAAAAAAAAAAAAAGCAAAATGAGCTCAAGCCCAGCCGAGCTGCATAGCAAGACCCTGTCTCAGAAAAAGAAAAAAAAAAAAAAAAAAAGTACGAGGTATCCCCTGCTATTTCTCCTCCTGATCATAAAGCCATTAATGTCTGGGGTAAGGTCTTTTATTTTCTTATGCTCGTCCAGTGCCTAACAGAACTGAGCAGTTAAAAACTACACTGCTCCAAGAGTGTCTGAGTGGAAGGATGGAGTGTGCCATTTGAATGAAGGCAGCTTACATTCTAAATGGATGAAGATTCTCTCCCTGCCTGCCTTACGTGACTTATTATATTCATTTTGGTGATCGCCGTAGCAGGACCTAAATAAATGACTACGGAGATGGGAAGGGAAGAGGAAAGGAGAAAAGGAAAAGAGATGGGTAGATAGAGGTAAGCAAATAGTTTTAAAAAACTGGTACATGTACAACTTAGGTACGAAATAGGAAAATTTATGCTAGGAAGATATGCAGGTAGATTAGTTGAGGGGAAGGCAGGTGTGTATATAGTACTTCTATATACTGAACAGCATGTCCATAAGCCCAGCACTGAGGATCCCGAGGCAGGAGGATTGGCATGAGTTTGCGGTCAGCCAGGGCTATATAGAGACCTTGTCTCAAAAACAACAACCTCAGTTATTATTTGTACAGTAAAAGACACATTGCCATGAGTCCTTTTCGAAATAGACTCTCTTGCTTCAGACATCTTGTCCTGAACTGATTTAAAATGTTTACCCAACTTCTATCAAATAAACATGTTCAGTGTGTCATTACCCATCTTAGGCTCTGGACCTAGCATTGTGTAACTTCCGGCTCTTCTCCACAGTCAAAATGACCAGAAAGATAAATGTTTTGAATAGATTCAGGACACTGTGCACTAAAGACACTCACAAAAGAGGACTTCCAGAACTGCCTCGGAAAGCGGCAAGCGTTGCAGCATCGGCGTGTTTGAATCAGGGAGGAGAATTAGGAAGGAAATCAATAGCAATGTGTGTTTCACTGAAATAAAGTTTTTAAAACTGTGAATGTTCATCTTAGCTTGTAATCACCCCATGCACCTATCCCAGTGACTAAGGAAAAGAAGACCGACACATGGGTTAAGTGGAGACGAGTGGCTGTGGATATAGGTGCAGTTGTAAGGAGATCTGAGGTTGTAGCCAGGGGATCCTGGAGAGCAGGAGGTAAGTCCCAGGCTCCTGGCTGGAGGGTGGATTAAGCAAGGACACAGGTGAGCTTGTGGGAACAGGGTACAGAACCG